CTGGCAGAATCACTTGAACAATACCAGGTGTCTGAAGGTTCTAGAAGGAATCCTTTTTGCCTCGACCACTTGGCGGAGAGACCCATGCAGATTTGCATGGTGGCCCAGTGCTAAACGGATGTCCTGATGCTGAAGGGGATCAGGAGGTCCAAATGACATCAGCTCACAGGGACTGGGAATCAAACCAGGGACTAGCAGATGACTGGGTCAAGCTGGGCCAGTGACAATGCCGTAGGGATGTGCAGGCAGAGAGTGACTCTCTCTCTCTCTCTCTCTCTCTCTCTCTCTCTCTCTAGAAACTGGCAACAAGGTACCTCCCTGCATGATGAGGTGTCCTGGCAGGGTGAGATCACACCCAACTTGGTGTGACTAAAGCCACTCACCGTGGGATAAGTAAGTCTCTCAGAGGGCGTGTCCTAGGAAACCTCGGGGGCCTCACCTGCCTCTCACCCAATACTATTGATCTTCTATTACACAATAAGCCCGGTATAAAGGCTTATAGGTGTGAGTGCATGAAACTATTCCCCAGCCCACGGAGCAGGCACTGTTACCAGGCCAGCCTGCAGAACAAAGGAGGTCAGCTTAGAGGGGCAGCCCAGAACCCCGCTCTACTCCTCTCTTGACAGTCTCTGCGTGTCTTTACTATAAATCAAATTTAAAGAAAAACTACAAGCTTAATTTTCTTAGGATGGTCAGTAAGAGTTCCCAAACGTTGCTAACTTTGGAGTAAATTTTGTTGCGTCTCACTCCTTTCTGTCTGTCTTTGCTTTTTGATAGGGGCTGTTACGACAACAGGTCACGGCCTGGCTGGCTTCAGAGCTGAAACTCACTTGCTCACACCTCACACGGGAAATTGATGATGGAGCTACGGCAGGGTGGTTTCTCCAGAGGCCTCCCTCACTGCTGGGCCTGTGTCTCCCCAGGTCTTTCTCTGTGTGGGGCACCCCTGGCTCTCCCTGTGTGTCACCATTCCTGCTTCTTCTAAGGACCGAAATCAGGTGAAGTCAGGGTCTGCCCTAAAGACCTTATTTTAACGTACACTTCTTTAAAACTCTTACCGAGGGCCTGGCCCTTGCTGGTATCTCAGAGGACACAGCACCCACAGGGTAGCTCACAACCACCCGCAACTCCATTTCTGGGGAATCCGATGCCCTGCCTGGTGTCTAAGGGCACTGCACACAGGTGGCGCAAATAACGATATGCAAGTAAACATTCATAAGATAAAATTTAAAACGTCTTACTTCCACGCTCAGTCATGTTCTAGCGTGTTAAGTATGAATATTCAATATCCATAATTTGATGATACGGTGTAGCCCACGGCACGATGCCTTAGGATCTCTCTTGTTCTGATAAACGCCATGACCAGAAGCAACTTGGGGAAGAGAAGGGTCTATTTCAGCTTGTGGTCCGTCATCCAGAGAACGCAGGGTGGGAACTCAAGGCAGGAACCTGGAGGCATGCGTGTCAGAGGCCATGGAGGGGTGCTGCTTCCTAGCTGGCTCCTCATGGCTTGCTCAGCCTGCTTTCTAGGACCGTCAGCCCAGGGGTGGCACCATCCACCGTGAACTGGGCGCCCCCACATCAATCAAGAAAATGCCCCCAAGGCTTGCCTACCTGTGCCAGTCCAGTGAAGGCCTTTTCTCATTGCGGTTCCCTTTATCCAGGCTCTAGCTTGTGTCAAGTTGACGGAAGAGCATCTAGCAAAGACTCTTTATACACCCTTATATCTCAAAGCCTTCAGAAACAACCAAAAACACCAGGTGCCTTTACCTAAATACTTCATGGGTGTTTCCTAAAATCATGGATGCTCTCCCACAGCACCACAGAGCAACCACAACAGGGAAACAATGCTATCCTGTGAGACCATGGCATTGTCTGCTATGAGCTATCATGCTCTCTAATCTGTCCGTTTGTCCCATGGCTGGTGTCTTAGCTGGGATCACTTAGTCGTGCCTGCCAAGTTTCTCATTGTACAGTTGCTATTCTCCTTTTATAGTTAATAATCAACTCTTTCAGGCCAGTGAGAAAGCTGAGTGTGTAAAAGTACTTGCTGTGCTAGCCTGATGACTAGTGTTTGAGCCCTGGAACCCACGGTGGAAGGAGAGAACTGATTTCTGAACTCTGGCCTTCTGATCTACACACTTGTGATCTACACACACACACACACACACACACACACACCATATACACACAATAGTAATAAATAAAAGCATAAAAATAATAGTTAATAGTTGTCTTGTGGGAAATCACCTTGAAACTAGGAGAATCTCCTTTTTAAGGGTTTTTTTTTTTTTGTTTGTTTGTTTGTTTGTTTTGTCTTTGACTACGTGAGTGTGTTTTTGTGTGTACACATAAGTACAGGTGCCAGCTGGAGGCAGAAGCAGGAAGTATCAGATGCCCCTGAAGCTCCAGTTACAGGGGGTTGGGAGCCAGCCAATGTGGGTGATGAGAACCTGGCTCTAGTCTTCTGCCTCTAACTGTTGAGCCAACTCTCCAGCCTGGAATAGCCTCTTTTTTATTTTAAAATTTTGTTCATCATCATCATCATCATCATCATCATCATCATCATCATCATCATTTCTCTCTCCCTCCCTCTCTCCTTTGTGCTTGTGTGAGACATGCCAAGGTCAGAAGGAAACTTAGTGGGGTCAGTGTTCCTTCTTTGGCCACTACATGGACTCTGGGGGCTTGAACTCCAGTCGTCAAGACTTGCGTCCTTGGGTGGCAAGTGCCTTTACCTGCTGAGCCATCTTGCTGGATCCAAACAATGTGAATATCATGCTTCTTGTTAAACAAACACACCTGCTGATGATCCTTTGCGGAGTGTCTTATGACAGAGGGATGGCTTGATGGTCATTTTCTAACTCCATTGTTCTCTCTGCTTGAGACAAAAAACAAAACAAACAAAACAAAAACAACATTCGGTTGGTTGTCCATTTTTTTCTCCCAGTGTGAACTCAGTAATTCCCACTTAACAGCTTATGATCCATTGTTGCTCTATTTAAACGCTCAGGTTGTCCCTGACTTGGACGGCTAGAGCTCCCACTGCCTCAAGCCAGAGAGCACCACTCCACGTTTCTGTTTCTTCAGCTCACAGGAAGGGAATTTATTAACAGAAAATAACCAGAGAAGTCCTGTCCACAGTGAGCACAGTGACTTTACTTCCTGTGGGAGCTGTCAGAGGGGCTGAAGGTGACATCCTCAACTGGCTTAACCTTTCATCCCAAGCGAGTGAGAACGCTGAGGTTTGATGGGACCAGAAGTCCTGTGGCCCAGGGTTCGGTAGAACAGACAACACTGTGCAATCCTTGGAGCCGACCTGACAGCAACCTCGTCTTGCTCAGTTTTCACCTTCATTCCACCGGACAAAGGCCTCATAGAAAGATGCAAAGACGTGACAGATAGCAAATAGTTCTCTAGCTGAGGACCTGCTCGTTCTCATTTTCCTTCCCCTTGCAGGGTACCATTTCTGCGCCTGTCTGGGGACTCTGCCCCTGGAAAGAGTGTGAGAAGGCCAGCTCCACTTTTAAATGCAGCGTTGTACAACATCATCCCTCGGCCGCCATTACCAAAAACGAGGGCTGCTTCTGCGGGGAGTTGGGTGTGGACGCTGAGGCCTGACTCCTCTGTCCTCCTAGGCTGAGGATGAGGGTGATGGATCTGGGGTAGGGTCCCCACGTGTCATACAGATCCATTGGATTTCTTCATGAGTTGAGTACCTACTATTTGCCAGACATAGCCTCAGCTCTTTCTGTTTTTGTTTCTTCAAAACGGGGTTTCTCTGTGTAGCCTTGGCTGTCCTGGACTAGCTTTGTGGACCAGGCTGGCCTCGAACTCACAGGGATCCCACAGAGATCCGTCTGCCTCTGCCTCCCCCAGTGCTGGGATTACAGGCATGGGCCACCGCGCCCGGCATCAGAGTTAAGTTGAAAAAAAAAAAAAAAAAAAAAAGTCTTTTTCTTATTTATAACTTTTATCCTTAAATTTGTTTGTTACGTGTCTGCGTGAGTGCAGGTTTACCACCATAAGCCTGTGGAGGTCAGAGGTCAGCTTTCAGGAGTCAGTTGTCGCCTCCTGTCCTGTAAGTTGTGGGGACCGAACCCCAGCCCTCAGAATTAGTGACAGGCACCTTTTTAAACTGCATGGAGGAAGCGGGCGTCACTGGGGCCAGTGGAGGTAAGGCTGAGGATGTGGAGCTGACACCCTGTGAAGGCCCAGGGTAGGCAGTCGCTGTGGCTCTGCGCATGCCAACCCACGGCTCACAGGTACAGAGAAACGAGAAAACGAGACCGGGTGAGATCACCCGGGCAAAGGGTGTAGATCGAAAAGAGGCCAGACAGTAAACTGTAAAGTGAAGCAAGTGGCACCTCCACCCACGCCATTCTCGAGAGGTGTCAGGTGAACGCAACCAGAGGACACGGTCCCAGGATGGAGAATCCCAGGCGGATCTAGCTGCGGGCGGGGCCCCTAGAGCCGGGCCTAGCCGGGGGCGGGGTCTCACTCGGGCGTGGGCGGAGCCTTAGTTCTCCGGGGCCTCTCCGGGGCCGGCTGGAGGCTGGGGCAGTGACGTCACCGCATGACTGGGTTTTTATGAATGAAAGGAATCCTGTGCGTGAGTAATTCCGGGAAGCTCGCCTTACAACTGCGCGCCGCTCCGGCCCCCTGCGCCGCCCGCCCCATAACAAAACTCGGAACGGCGGGGCTCGGAGCCGGGTTCCCAGCGAACTGCGGTCCCGATCGGAGGGGAACGGGGCCCGAGAGTGACCCGAGACCGCCACCGCGACAGCAGCCGCGACCAGCGCGCGCGGAGCGCCGGGCCTGGGAGAGAACGGTAAGGACGCGTCAGGGACCGAGAGCCGGGAGTGCGCGCTCCGGGTCGTGCCTGGGCCGCGCGTGGGTCCGCGTCCTCGGCGCCCCCTGAGCATCTTGCTCACCGAGGGGCCTCGGAGGGGCCCGCGGGGAGGCGGTACGCGGGCCCGGGAGGAAGCCGGGGCGGAGGCGGGGCGCGCTGGTACGTGACTCGGGGAGAACAGTCCCTGGAGCCGCGCCCAGCACCGTGTGTGCGCGGTTTGTTTACGTCCCCCGCTGGCGTGCGTGCGCGCGTGTTCCCTGGGGAGCGCCCTGGGTTCCTCGGGCTGCGTGCGCGTCGTGTACCGCGGGGTTTGGGTTTGCGTGTGGCCGCACGCGCTCCCTGGAGACTGACGCTAGCCCGGGATGCCTTGAAGTGGAGGCCGCACCGGTGTCCACTGGAGCAAATGCGGAATAAGAGCCCGAGTGAAGGAAGTGGCTCAGTCCGTGGTCACGCCAGGTCTGGAATTTTTTTTCTCTCTCTCCCTCTCCTCCACCCTGCGCCATCCTCCCCCTTTCCCACCAGCCGGTTCTGCCCGGCCCCGGTTGTCTCCGGAGTTTCCCCTGGTCGGAGCCATGTGACATCAGTGTTTGTTTCTTACCTAGAGCGGGTGCCTGCAGCCTTAGAATAGAAAAGCGGTGAGCGAGCTAGCCTTCTCCTGGCCACCTGGTGGATCTGGTCGTGTGGTGCGTGGAAGTTTTTCCTTCGCCCCAGGTGTTCTGTCTGGTTTATCCCTGGACTGGCCCACTTCCCCAGTCTCAGGAGAAACGTGGAGGCCCAGAAAGCCTGTGGGCGGAGATCGGGGAAGGCAAGGGTCTCTGGCTACTCTGGTGGCTATCGTGGTGGTCTGGGTGTCTGAGGCTTCACCTGCTGGGTCCTGGAGGATGGGGGGAGGCGGCCTGCCACGCTCCTGGTAGTTTCAGTTCTCAGACTGACTTGTTAGACTGGACTTTCTGTGTGGACTGGTGGACCCCAGGGCTAATTAAAGACTGGGTCAGCTGGCACACCTGGAGGCCAGCCTGGGCCAGCAAGATCGGCAGGCAGTACTGATCCCGGAAGGGTTAATGTGGGAGGGGAGCGCTGTGAAAAAACACCTGTGTAGGCCGGCAACCTGAGGGAGGGCTGGTTCTGGGAACCCGGTGATCCTACTCAGATTTACCCTCTTGCGTGTACACCAACATGAGGCTTCTAAAACCCAAGGAGGTGGCAACTGAGCTTGCTAGGAGACGGAATCAATATTTTAACTCTGAGCCCAGTGAGCCCGGCTGCCACTATGGGGACTCCGGTGTCCCTGTCTGCAGCAGGACGGCAGGAGAGCCATGGTTCTGGTAGCTGCGATGTGCAGCCTGTTTTCCAGGACGATCTGGAAAAAGCAGAGCCAATCCCAAGGCCTGGGGCTGGCCGTGTATGTAGAGTTGGTGGTTGGAGGTTTGCAGCCAGGACCACAGGACCTGGTGGGTCCATCCTCAGCCCTGATCAGGAAACATCCCCCAGTAGGGCTGGGGGTCAGAGATGAGGGAGTGACTAACCGACCCACCGACAGACAGACGGAAACTCAGCATCCCTACATCATGGACTTTTTTTTTTTTTTTTTTTTTTTGTCTGCATGTTTGTGTTTGCTCCGTGTGTATGCCTGGGGCCAGCAGAGGTCAGAAGAGGGTCTTGGATCCCTTGGAACTGTAGTTATGGACAGTTGCGAGCCATCATGTGGGTGCTGGGAACTAAATCCCGGTCGTCCTCTGCAGGAGCAACAAGTGCTTTTCGCCACCGAGCCATCTCTCCACTTTATTTATTCTTGAGGGGAGGATGGACATGCACTCACCGGGGCAGGGAGGTGTGACGGTGGGACCTTCACCCATGGCTGTGGTAGTGCGCGCTCCCATCTTAGCCTTGCACAGCCACTGGGCCAGACACTGGGGATGAGACAGACAGACCCAGAGACTGCCTTCTGGGGGAGAAGGTAAAGGAGCCAAAGAAGTCAATGCAGAGCAGCTGCTAAGATGGATGGGCTGAAGGGAAAGTCAGCTGGCCTAAGCAGTGATAGGGCTTCTACTTTAGTCAGTGCAATCATGGAAGGCTTCCCTGGGGAGGAGGCTAGGGAGTAGGTGGCCGGTGGTGGCTGTGGAATCCAGAGGACAAGGGCTATGATTCCTCTTTGGGCCTTCAGGGCTCAACCTGGGGGGCAGGGGTAGCTGGCACACAGCAGGTGCTTCGTGGATATGTGGATAGTTGAGGAAGTGAGCAATGGGCCTATGTCCCTTGAGCCCAGTGATGGGGATAGAAAGAGGACCTGGGGTCCAGGGAAGCGGAAAGCAAGACTGTGGGCCAGAGGAGGCTTGAAGGAATCTTCTCCCAAATGAGCAGGTCTTCAGGGCGCAGGTGAGTTCCTGCTTCACACACACAGACCGTTCCTTTTGGCCAGAAGTCGTTAGGGAATCCAGCCTACTTTTTTTTTCCCCCAAAGATTTTTTTTTTTAACTCACTTTTCATTTAAGTAGGTGTTTGTGCCTTAGTGAATTTATGTGTTCCACATGCGTGCAGACGGCTGTGGAGGCCAAAGGGTGCTAGGCCCCTGAAACTGTAGTTACAGGCGGGTATGATCCACTTGACATGGTACTGAGGACAGAACGCAGGTCCTCTGCAAGAGCAGCAAGTGCTCCTAACCACTGAGCCATCTCTCTAGCCATCTCTCTAGCCCGATCTTTGCTTTTGTTTTGTTTTGTTTTGTTTTTGACATAGGGTCTTATGTAGCCTGAGCTGGCGGTGAACTTCTGGTGTTCCCATCTCTGCCTCCTGAGGGTTTCGATCATGGAGTCCGTGACCACACCCAGCTAGCACAAGGTCTTGAAACATGCCAAACATGGTCAAGTTTGTAATAGTGACCCCTTTTGACGCTATCGGAGGTGGAGGCAGAGGAGGGGGCAGGGCAGCGGTGAGGCCACTCTGGTCTTGGTCTCCCTGGAAGAGGAAGTGGCCCCTAGCTGTGCAGGTGGAGGAGAAAGGAGGTCAGCTCTCATGCCTCTGCCTCCAGGAGGCCCTCCCTGGTTTCCTTTCCTTTCCTCCAGTGCCTCCACCCTGCTGGAGGCCTGGGAGTTTTATGCAGGGCCAGAATCAGACACTGTACACCCAGACATTGCCTTTGCTGGGCGGTACCTCAGGCTCAGGGGAGGTTGGGCACGTTGGGAAATCCGGGCCCAGAGAAAGGGAGTGACGACCTGAAGTCACACGGTGATACGGTGTGGGTAGCAGGATGGGGCTGGAAGGCCAGGCTGCTGCTTCCCTACACTGCTCAGTCCTTTCAGGCTTGCGCCCTTCCAGCGGGGAGGAGGCGCCCCGCGCTCGCTGCCAAGACCCAGGCAAACACATTTTTTCCCTCTGTCCTCACCAAGTAAGCACTGTGGCTCGGCAGCCAGAGAGGAACCCATGCCAGTGGGTGGGCCGTCTGCAGCATGTCTCGGGTGTTCAGCAAGGGGCCAGCGACAGGGACAGGAAGGCCATGGCCCCTGGCGGGGCAGCCGTCATGTACCCGGGAATGAGCTCACTCCTGGGTCTCCAAAGAATACTAGGAACCTCAGACCCGGAGTTGGCCCTGCTGGCTTCCCCAGGAAGAAGAGAAGCCTTGAGGGTGGGGTCCCTGGGTCGGGCGGACTGGTAGCAGTGGGATATCCGTGCTCTGTGTGCTAGAGACTGGGGCCTGCTGCTGGAAGCTGGAAGCCAGAGGTGATGGGAAAATCCCCCCTTCTTGTGTCGGGACATTCCCTGTGTGCCTGGCTGACTGCTGAGCTAGGACATTCCTGGGCAGATGTGGGCCCACGCCGACCTCTAGGATGCCACTGAGGGGCCTGAGGCTAGAATGGGGGCTGGCGGGACAGAGGAGGATGGCCAGGTCCCAGCCTTCCCAGGGCCAGCCGAACGCTCACTGTCTATAAAGAGCATGGCTGCAGTCCCATCTCTTGGGGAAGCAGGGGAGGCTGGCCATGTGGAGAGGGATTCTGAGGCCATGTGAAGAAAACAGGGAGGTTTTGAACGACCAAGGAGGTGGCTGTTTCATCTCTCTGGAAACAAGTGACAGGTCAGAGCTGTCTGTGCTCAGCCAACCAAGTCCGACTCTGACTTGACCTAAGAACGCCTGCATTTTACACACCGACCCCAGTCTACAAATGTGGAGAACAGGGCCAGGGTGAGGAGCCGGGCTATGCTGCCAGCATTCTGGACCCAAGCGCTGCACCCCAGGACTCAGCAGGCCCTTAGTTAACCCATGCAGGGAGAGACCCTTTCTTCCACCAGGTCTTTTGACTGAGCAGTTATCCACACTCCCAGCCACCCCCCACCCCTGCCCAGCTCCACACAACTGGCAAGAAGGCCTGGAAATATAAGGTTGGTGTCACTCACACGACCCAGCTTTCGCCAGCCTAACCCAGGTCCTGGCACAACACAGGCGAAGCTGCTCCCTCTTCACAGAGGCGAGGAAACAGGACTCAGAGAAGGAGTTGTGCAGAGTCCGTACCATGAGGAGGAGGTAGCTGGCTTCAGTCCTGGGCACTGCCTGCCCTGTGTGGCTGTGTCCCCTCTGCCCACCTCTCTGGGCATTACTTGACAGGGTTCTCAGGAAGACTATGAAGATGATGGTAGGAAATGATTGAGACTCAGTCCTGAAGCCAGTGGGTGGGGTAGTGGTCCATGCACCTCCCAGCACTCGGGAGGCCGGGGCAGGCAGATCTCTGAGGGTGAGGCCAGCCTGGTCTACAGAGCATGCTCCAGGGTAGCCAGGGCTACACAGAGAATCCTGTCTCAAGGGGGGAGGGGGGAGGTCAGTCCCTAGATTTCATGGATGTCGGAATTCTGCCCCCATTGCAGACAGGCGGCCGTGTGGCTTCTAGCGAGTGCCTACCTTGGGGTGGTCTCTAGGAGGTGGTCTTTCTACATGCAGTTCTTTAGGTGACCCTGGCTGGCTCTGCTAGGGCCTCAGAGCCGGCTGCAGCCCTGACACCTGGTCAGGCCCAGCAGTTTTACTGAGTTCCCAGATGTTCTCTGCCTCTCTGTTTACATGACAAGCGTCCACTAAAACTGTGGAAGAAACTGTCCCGCACTACAGGTGGGACGGTAGCGACCCACCTGCTGTCTGCTGGAAAGAGAAGCAGCTCTCCCCAGGTTGCACAGCCTGGAGAAAACTCTGGGCTTGCCTCCCGGCCAGTGCCCCTTTCCCTGTTTCCCATGCCCTGATCTAGGCCAAAGGTCACATGGGTGAGGGTCCCTATGCTGGCTCCAATTCTCCTGCCCCCTGTGTCCTCTGCCCCACAGGGAGGCAGATGACAAGGAGAAGGAGGAGGAGGCTACCAACAGGTTTCACTCACACTGTGTTCCCCTAAGCTGGTCTTGGAACTTGCCTGGGATACCAACCAGCTGGGTCACCATGACAGAGTTTCCAACCAATTCCCCTCCTCCCCCCCCACAAACACACACACACTGCATGCTCCCTGCTCCTGTTGGGCCATGGCTGGGCAGCCTCAAACACCCAGGGCTGACTCAGCTGTCTGGTATAGGGACAACGAGGAAATGGATAGTTACACCACAAGGGAGACAGGCTGGGGGGCAGAGGGCACCTAGCAAGACCTATGGGTCAGAGAGGGCTTCCTACGGTTGGAACAGAGGGTGATTAGGAACCTGGCAAACAGACTGAGGAGGAAGATGGTATCAGAGGGTGGGGGTGGTCTGGAGGTGAGAGGGCAAGAGTGGGAGAGAGGAAGTGAAAGAGATTCCTTCAGGCTAGAGGCAGAATGGAGGGAGGCTTGCTAGTGGAAGCAGGGTGTGGCTGGGCACAGGGCCTGACTGGAGCAGTGCAAGGCTGTCTGGACTCTTCTGGCTGGTACGGATCAATGAGACCTATGGGAGGTGACCATGTGGGCCGTGGCATGTGAGATTGTCTCAGTGGACAGGTGCCACCCCGACCCAACTCCCTGGTATGTGACTCAGGCAGGGGACTGTTTAAAAAATGCCACTGCGACCAAGCAGAGTAGCCCATACCTGGAATCCCACTACTCAGGTAACGGAGGCAGAAGGATCTTAGGTTCTAGGTGCCCCTGTAAAGTCAAGTGGAATCCTTCACCCAGAATCAGCACCGGAGCCTAGAACTGCCCAAGCCCTGGTCCAGTCCCCAGGTGCAGCTTTTTCCAGCTACATCGTAAGAGGCATGGTGGCTTTTTGATCTGTAGATATAGGGTCTTGCTCTATAATCCAGCCTGGGCTTGAGCTTGATATGTAGCCAGGGATGAACCAATGATCCTCCTGCTTCAGCCTCCCCAACCCTGGGATTACAGGCTGTGTGTCACACCTGCCCTGGTGGCTCTTCTTAAATTTTGTTTTGATTATTTTGGGACAGTCTCATGTAGCCCAGGCTGGCTTTGAATTCGTGATCTAAGAGTAATCTGAACTTTTGACCCTCCTGTCTATCTCCTGAGTGCTGGGATCCCTGGCCTGTGCTTTAGTCCCCAGTAGACACCATTAGACTCCGCTAACCCCGGGGCCACAGTAGCTGTTTCAGTCAAAACAGCGTTTTCAATGGCCAGCTTCCCTTTCCTGCCCCGCCCCTTCCTGCTGACTGAGCTGCTAGACCCCTGACCTGGTGGGAGTTCCTCACAAGCCCCAGACTGTCCCCACCTTGGCCTGACTCACACGGAGAATCCCACCGTTGCCATGGGAGCAGCTTCTCTGGCCAGACACTGTTCTCAGCCCTGGGGAAACCATAGGAGATTCGACAGGGTCCCCCCGCTGTTGGAGAGGGGACATCCTCTTTAAAAAGAGCCCCCAGGGGACATCAGAGGGCAGATGCTGCATGTGAGTGAGTGTGACAGAGGCTCAGCGTGAGATGTGGGGGTTAAGCATGCAGGGTTCAATTGCCTGTGGAGGCCAGAGGTTGGCGCTGTGTCCTCCTTGATTGTTTGTGGCCTTATACGAACATGGAGCTCCTGGTCCCACTAACCTAGCAAGCCAGCTTGCTCTGGGGATCCCATCTCTACCCCTGCCCACGCTGGGATTACAGGTGGGGCACCACACCCACCCAGCATTTACATGGCTCTTGGGAGCCAGACTCTGGACCTCTCACTCGTCCTCTTAAATTCTCAATACTTAACTTTTATTTCCTTTGTATGAGTGTTCTGTCTGCATGCATGTCTGTGTACCATGTGTTCAATCCCCAGTACAAACAGAAAGGGAGAGGGCTGGAGAAATGGCCCCGCAGTTAAGAGCTCACAGTTAACAGCACTTGTGAAACAGGGTCTTCTGTAACCCAGGCTGGCCTCAAACTTGCTGTGTAGCCAACACTGGCCTTGAAGTCTTTCCTCTACCTCTTGAGTGCTGGGATGAGGTGTTCATCATCGCATTAGTTTCCCTCCAGCAGTCTTTAGTCACCTGTCTCCTCAGTGCCAGGTACATGGCAAACTGCAGCTAATCAGGAAATGTCGCTGAGGGAATGCAAGGCTCATAAGAAGTTTCTGGGGACCAGTGGGCTGGCTCTAGGCTAGCGGATGGCTGCTATTCCCTCTAAGGCAGTGGTTCTTAATGTGTAGGTTGAAACCTTTTTATAGGGGGTCACATATCAGATACCCTGTGTATCAGATATTTACACTACGATTCATAACATGGCAAAATTAAGTTAGGAAGTAGCAATGAAAATAATTGTATGGTGGGGGAGGGGCCACCACAACGTGAAGAACGATATGAAAGGGTCTCGGCATTAGGAAGTTGTAAACCATTGTGCTAGGACCATGCTGAGTCGCTGCTGGTGGGCAGACCCTGGGCAGTTGGGGAAGCCTTTCTAAAACACGACCTTGGACAAATGCTGCTGGAAAGGAGGCTTGGGCGCTGCGTCCTGAGGGGGTACTGGATAGACTTTGAACTCGACAGGGTGCTCACTGACCTACACACACATGCTTTGGGCACATTTCTGTAGACAGCCTGTAACCCCAGCATTCAAGAGGCAGAGGCAGAAAGAAGCCCAGTGAGTTCGAGGCCAGTCTGGGCAAATGACAAAGGTGACCTGACTCAGTGGGGAACGGGGCTTCTGCCGCCAAGCCTCAGGATGAGAGCTGGATCCCCTAGAACGCGCAGGTGGAAGGGAAAAACCAACGCCTGGGTATCATCCTCTGACCTCCACACAACTGTCAAATGGCATGGCCCTGGTGTGCCAGACTGACACACGTAAATGTGATAAAAATATTGAAACAAACCCAAAACACGCGTGCCCTGTGCCTGGGGGGGGGGGGGGGGGGTGAGTGCGGGGACCGCCCACTCCCTCAGCTCACATTTGCCGAGTACCTAGTGCATGCACGCTGACCCTGGTGTGGCGAGGCTGTGGTGAAACTGGCACTTTGCTGGAGAAGGGGGTGGGAGGGACAGACCGTCACCTGGGGTGGGAGGTGGTCAAAGAGGAGGTCATCCCCGAAAAAGAAAAGGTCATCTGGGCAAAGACCCAGATGAAGCGTCACTTTGGGGGGCTGGGGCAGCAAGAGCAAAGGCTGGACTGTTGGGGTCAGAGGAGGTTGGTATGAATTCTGAGATAGGCGCCTTGAATGCCAGGGTATGGAGATTGATTTTTATCCTAAGCAAGAACGTGAACAAACCAACCAAGGTGACCTTGAACTTCTCTCCTTCCTAGGCCTCCAGCCCAGAGGGCACCTACTGCGAAAATGTCCGTGGATCCCTTGTCCAGCAAAGCCCTGAAGGTGAGGCGCTAGCGCCTGTGGTCTTTCTCTGCTTCTGCTCCTGGTCGAGTAGCGACATCTCAATTCCCCTTTCCTTCCTGGAAGCCCCAAAAGGGGACTCGGCAGCGACAGGAGCAGGTCACTTCCCATTATGCCCGCTTCCCCCATTGCAAGGGGCTTTCCAGGCTGAGTCTCTCAGCTGGGGTCCAGGATTTGACGCTTGGTTAGTTTGAGGCCCCGGGGTAGACTCCTGTGCTAGCTCACCTTCGAGGTCTAGACTCAAGTCCAGAAAGCGCCAAAACAGGAAGGAGGGGCGTGGGGGGGGGGGCTTGCACCGGGAAGTTGGGCGGCATCTCCAGCCCGGGGCCGCGTGCCTCAGTTTCCCCCCCTCGGTCCGCAGGTCAAGCGTGAGCTGAGCGAGAACACGCCGCACCTGTCGGACGAGGCGCTGATGGGGCTGTCGGTGCGCGAGCTGAACCGCAACCTGCGCGGGCTGTCGGCCGAGGAGGTGACGCGGCTGAAGCAGCGGCGCCGCACCCTCAAGAACCGCGGCTACGCGGCCAGCTGCCGCGTGAAGCGCGTGTGCCAGAAGGAGGAGCTGCAGAAGCAGAAGTCCGAGCTGGAGCGCGAGGTGGACAAGCTGGCGCGCGAGAACGCCGCCATGCGCCTGGAGCTCGACGCGCTGCGCGGCAAGTGCGAGGCGCTGCAGGGCTTCGCGCGCTCCGTGGCCGCGGCGCGCGGCCCCGCCGCGCTGGTGGCGCCCGCCAGCGTCATCACCATCGTCAAGTCGACGCCAGGCCCCGCCCCCGCTCCCGACCCCGCCCCCTGCTCCTAGTACCCGCCCCCTCCCCCGAAAAACTCCCCCTCGGACCCGACTCCCTTCCCAGAATGCCTGAGTGCCTTCCTCTCCCGGTCCGTTTCTCTGCCACCGGTCTGTTTCTCTGCCACCGCCACCCACTGTGGTGATTTCACATTCCTTTCCTGGGCTCTTTCTAGCTCTTGCAGCCCCCCTCCCAAGACTGGGATCTGATGGCCCTGGGGAGGGGCAACTTTGCTAAGTTGGGGGGGGGGGCGATTTGGGGTTCTGGGTTTCCCTGGGCTGAAAGTCTGTCCTCAGATTGGAAGGGAGGGGATGTGGAAATGGCCCGGAGAAGGGCTGGTGGGAGAAGCTTTGGAATGTACCAGTATGCCCTTCCTCGACCCTCTCAGGACTAGGTGTGGCCTTGTGGGGTTGCCCTGCTGAGAGGCAGAACTCCAGAGGCCTCCCAACTCTGCTTTGGACCTGGGAATGTCGGGCTTTCCCAAGCTAAGTAAGCTCAGTTGACAGATGGCGAAGCAGTCGGGCCTTGTCAATCCAAGGCCACTCAGCGCTGAGTAGTTGAGCTGCAAGCCCAAATGGGGCCTCTCCCAGCTGCCCTAAGGAACATTCCAAGCATGGATTTCACGGGGGAGGGGGACCAGTGCACAGGGACTTAACAGAGTGGCAGGAGAGCCTCGCTGGTCCGGGAGACAGTGTCTATGGGATGGGGAAAGAGAAGCTGAAGGAGAGAGGAGGTGACACCACAGATGAGGTGAGGAGCTGGCCAGCCAGAGAAGGGGCAGTGGAGGTGACCACTGTGGTAGGTAGAGGCAGACACTACAGTCCTGAAGTGGGGATTGGAGGAGGTGGGGGGGGGGAATCCCTTGGAATTAAGGCTTCCGCTTTGGTCTGGAGTCTCCGTGGTCCGCGGTGGAGTCGGGGCTCACCATTGTACCCCTGGAAGTCCAGCCCTAGCCGCTCCCCAACACTGTATACAGCTGACCCCTCCACACTATTTATTGCACGAATCTAAGTTATTCTGGCCAGCCAGAGCCCAGCGCCTCTTCCCTGGGAAACATGGGCCCTGAGCTGGACTTTTATTTTGTATCTACAAATAAATCACATTTAATCTTATATTTAGGGAAAGCTGGATGGCAGCAATAATAAGGTTTTTTAAATTGCCCGGCTCCCAGAGTTTATTTATTTTGATGTAAAGTGTGCCAGTTATCTGCCTTGAGTATTTTGTAGACTTTCTGAATAAAGTCGAGTTCTCTTTTTCCACAGAGAACTGCATATCCTAGACTGTTTTGTGTGTGCTGTAAATGAGTGGCCTGAGAAGGGAGAGTGGAAGAGACTTTCGCGTCACGGGAGGCTAAACCCCACGGCTAACTTTTGCAAGCAGGTGTGGGCGGAGAAAGCAGTATGATCACTGCACAGTCCCAGGTGGAGAGAGGCCCTAAGTTCTCCACTTTGACATAGGTCTGATTTTCTACAGCCCAATGGCAACTACTTCCCAGTGCACTTGAAGGCCCAGAGAGAGAAATGAATTGCTAAGTTCTAGGACAGGCTTCAGCGTTAATCTTAGGTCTGAGGAAGGAGAGATGGTGTGTGTGTGTGTGTGTGTGTGTGTGTGTGTGTGTGTGTGTGCGCGCGCGCGCGCGCTCACTCATGCTGACTCTGCCTTGCCTGGTGAGGAGGAATACTCTGGTCTTCAGCCAAGTGGTCTCTTTTGAGGGGTGGTTTTTACTGGTTTCTTGTAGCTCCAGTTTTACTTTAAAACAATGGTTCTCAACCTTCCTAATGCTGTGACCCTTTAATGCAGTTCCTCGTGTTGTGACTCCCAGCCATAATATTACTTGTTGCTACTTCATAATTGTACTTTCACTGTTAGGAATGATGTAAACATCTCCTATCCCACCCCTGTGAAAGGGTTGACTGACCCCACCAAGGGGTTGCAGCCCACAGGTTTAGAACTGGTGCTTTGAGGCATAGTCCAGAAAAGCCGGAAGGGCTGTAAACCCTAAGAGCACTACAAATGCTGGTCCACAGAACTAGGGTACGGACGTTGCATGCGGCTGCTCGGGGGAGAGAGGGGCCAAGGAAAGGAGCATGGCTGGAGTGTTTCCAACAGCCAGATCATGTGGCTTGTCGGGACCCACGCAACTTTCTCCCCCTCAGACTGGGGCTGTGCCCAGCAAGATTCCTTCCTGACAGGCTAAGCTCAGGCCCGCCAGCAGGAAGGGGTGGCGGATGGGGGAATGGGCGTGTGCACAGATGACGTAGGCTGTTTACCTTCAGGTTATAGGCTGCTCAGGAAGTTACCCCGCCCACACGCATTCCAGCCATGCCTGTCACCCACAGGCCAGGCCCTTAGAAAGGCATGGTGCAGGCAGGGAAGGTACCCATGGCCTGTTACCCCTGCCCTAGGCCTCCTGGTTCCCAAGGATGGAGGATGGGCTCAAGGAAGCCAAGGAGGGTGCCCAAGTCTTAGATCTTCTGAGAGATATCTACAGAGTTCACCCTGCCCCTGGGAGAAACAGGGAATGAGGCCCAGCCCTCATGGGGATGGGAGAAGGAACCCCTTGTGGTAGGTTGCCTGTGAAGAAAGGAGAAAACTGTCTAATAGGGATGTGGAACCCGATTTTGGTCCGTGTAAACACCCCCATGACCTACATACATGTCTCACACAGGAAGAGGGTGGACACCCCTGCCCAGGGCCCCTACGCTTCTTCCAGACAAGAGGGAGAAGGAAAAAAGAAACACCTCACTGGTAGGCAGAAGAGATTTCGATATAATCTATATTATCTCATATATATATTTCTTCCTGACTTTATTTGCTTGCTTCTGTCACGCATTTAAAATATCACAGACACCAAAATAGAGCGGCTTTCTGGTGGAGCGCATGGCAGTCACATGAAGTACAAAACTAGCGGGCTCTGTCTTCTCATACACCATACAATTAATTTTCAAGTATCTTTTTTATGTACAAAGAGCTACACTATCTGGAAAAGAAATAAAAAATAAATGAGACAAGATAGGTTATGCGTCCTAGGAAGGAAGAAATGGGGCAGTCGGGAACAGATTTCTGTCCCGTGTTCCCAGGGACCACTAGCTTCCTGCCACTGAGCCCCTCCCCCCCAACAGCCTCACCCATCATGGCAGCAGGCAAGTGCTAGGGTGGGTGGGGGCCAGTGGGGACAGGAACCAGCAATATACTTTGGCCTGGAAAGGAGAGGAAAAGTCTGAGAAACAAGCCGGTGGAAGCAATCCCAGGAGGGAATGGAGGCCAGGCCCTAAGGAGCTCCCACCTGCCTGCAGCCTTCCTGGGCAGCTTGGGACCAGCTGGCCAGGCCCACTGGGTGGGGCTGAGTGCTGGCCTCTGTGCTGTGAGGAAGGTTGCTAGGATGCAACTGCCCGTGAGGTCCCTCCCCAATGGACTCCAGGAAAGGAACCTGTTCCAGAGGTGGCCGAGGGGAGAGGTTACCAGTGAAGGCCACAAGACGGGGCTTGTTCTTCTCCATCACCTCAAGAGGCTTCTGAAGCCAAACCCAAGGACAGCTTAGATTCTGCCCGACAGGCCCTCGGCCACCCTATGTTGGAGGCCCCAGCCCCGGGGGGAAGCTCTGGGATGTGAGTGTAGAGGGAGCCAGGGGAGAGAGTGGGTGGTCCCAGACAAGGGTGCCCAACCCAGTGCTGCAGAACCCTGAGTGCCAGCAGCTCAGTAAGGAGCCCCTGGAGGTGCCTGGGACAGACGGGAACTGGGGAGGGGCTTTGATATGTGACTAAGGCACAGAAGAGATGGGCCAGGGGCCAGGTGGGGCAGGACACCAGGCCCTGTAAGGCCAGGGGACCCGGGAGGGTCTGAGACCACTCCTACCTTGGCCCCGCTGCACAGCCATCCCTCCGGCCTCCCTCTGTAGGTGATCTGAAATGTGGAGACTCAGACTTCTCCGTCCCAGGGAGGCCAGGACCTAGCAGGAGTCTGACTGCTCCACTGAGGAGGTGGTGAGGAACCTAAGCCCTGGCACAGTCAGGAAATATAAGGGGGCTCTGCCCCAAACTATCAAGAACTGGACCCAAGGGAGAGGGCAGTGTGGGCTGCTGCCTGTCCTCTCAGGGCCGAGTGGTCCAGAGTCTCACGTGTTACCGGAGGGCCCACAGGCACGGAAGCATCCTTCCTAGGTGGGCCCTGAAGCTCCTGGGGTCTGGCTCTGGTCCTTGCAGCATGTCAGGCAAGCCTAGGTTAGGAGAGGGGGAGGGTCCACAGAGCATTTACATCTTCTCCTGCCCAGAATGAGACAGGTCTCATATTGGACAAAGGTGAACAGGGAAGGGGGGGGGGGGGTGGGGAGGAAGGCCAGGTTGGGCCTGGGTATTGCACGGTGTGGGGTGTGCTGGGCCTGACAGCTCGGCAGATATCCTGTTGGGGAGGGGGCTTAGGATGCAGCTTCTGGCCAACACACAAGCATTCGGGCCTAGGCATGGCTGGTTCCAGATGTGTCCCCAGGACAGGATGGGCGGCAGAGGTGTGGCAGCTACGGCCACTGTCCTCTGCTCTTGGCCCGAGCAGTGCAGGGTTGGCCGTGTAGACATATTCCTGAGGCCTGTCCCTCTGGAAGTGATATGCAAGTGTTTCTGGTCCAATAAATAAAAGGGCAACATCAGGGCTGCGCTGGCTGCTCCCCAGCCTGGCTGGGGGCTGCGGGAGGCACCGCTCCTCTCCCACCCATGCCCACACCTAGAACTCATCGTCGGAGCTGAGCAACAGAGTCTTCTCGTTGTCCCGGGCACCGCTGAGGCTGTGGGACCGGGAGAGGCTGTGGGTGCCGCCGCGCCGGGTGGGCCCGGGCTCCAGCGTGGACTGCTGCGTGTACTGCTGGTAGGCGGGGGAGAAGTTGTGGATGGCGTCCTGCACAATGTCGTGCGGGCTCATGGTCTCTTTGAGGCTGCTGGAGATGCTCTTCATGGGGGCACAGCGGCCTGCAGGGAGGAGGCGGGGAGGGGGCAGAGCAAGAGGAGGGCACTTCATCAGTTCCCGCCCACAGTGGGCTGGGACAGACCCTACCCCAGAGCTGTCCTCACTGTTCCCCCCTGGGACACCAGAGGGGCAGGGCAGGCTGCTGCTGACTAGGAGAGAACAGGGGAGCTGTGATGGAGGCTACGACAAGGACAGGGAGCTCTCACAGGTGGGAAAGGACTAGGCAGAGATGGGCAAGCTGCAGGCAGTCACCTGGAACACCCTGAGCTCCAGAGCCAGGCTATGATCCCCAGCTGGGAAGGCTGCTGGGCCAGGTACCAGACTCCCTCCATCCCCTCAGGAGCAGGCTGGCCTATTGGCTATCCCTCTGAGAGGGCAGAATGCGCTACCTTGGCATGTTTCCAACTCATCCACCTGCGTACGTGCCCCCCAGGTCTCCGAGGCGGGGGTGCAATCACAGTGCAGGCCACCAAGCCAAGCCGGAGGGGTGAACTCAACCCTAGGACTTGGGACTCAGAGTCTGTCTACCCACTGTGTGTTCTGTCTTGAAAACACTGCTAAATGCTCCTGTAGTGGGGGCACTGTGCCCCAGAACCTAGCCGGGTGTATTTCAAAACTAGAGAATGGGATGAAGGCAGCCAAAGCTCTACAAAGGGCAGCCCTCCTAGTCAGGGGCTCAGGGCTCTCGCCCAGGAGTGCCAGCCAGGAGACGGGTACACAAAGGAGCTACAAAAAGACATGCCAGTGACATGACCAGACAGACGTGCGGGACAGACGTGCAAACAGAGTAGAGAACAAACCTACCGTATGGGCCGTACGTCAGCACTGCCCGAGGCCAAACCCGGGGCAAATGCAGAGTAAAGGGCAGGGAGAGGAGCCGGAGAGATTGAGAAGACAAGAGACAGCTGAGTGAGAGTTGCCTGCTCACCCAGGCCCAGTGAGACACCCACACATCCCCAGACACTCTGGCTGCTCTGGCTTCCCCTGAAGGATGGTGCTCATGCTAACTGGGGTTCCTTAATGGCTGTAGGAGTTCCAGCCCACATCGGAGGACCCGTATTCCCACTTCTCCCAGGCTTGCTGGAGCCCTGCATGGAACCCTGTTGCCTTGCAAAGCTCACTCCCCTCACAGCTTTGGCAATCACAGCTCAGTGGACGAACACAGAGCAGGGCTGGCTTTTCACTCCAGCCTAGTGTGAAGGGGGACTGGGTGCCATGACTAAGAGGACGGACTACAGCCTCCAGCAACCTCAGCTGGTCCTGGTGGGGCTGTTTCTTCTAGGGTGGGTACATCTATGAGGGGTGCTGCCTGAGGGGAGTGCATGGAAAGACCGCCAGGTCACCAGCAAAGTGCTCATGCAGAACTCCCAAAACACAGCACCCTGTGCCACAGATAACCAGGCTTGCTTCTAGTGGCTTGGCTCCAGGCCTCGTGGCCTGTCAAACCCGGTTTAAGGGATGTAGATGAATGTTATCAGATCCTTCTTGATGGGGCCCAGTGGGGGTTGTACAGCCAGCAAGTGGCTCAGGACAGAGAAGGGATGCCATCAAGGACCAGGGTGGTAACTACAACACCATAAGGGGGTTGGAGGGGGCGAGACAGCACAGTCCAGCAGGGGCATTTGAAGGCCTCATCCCAACCAGGAACAGTAGAGGGGCTGGGCAGGGGGTCCTGTGCCTCTGGATCCCGGAGACCGTCCATGCCAAGCACAGGGACCTGTGGTGGGCACTGAAGCCTGGGGAGGAAGGTTTTCTGGCCTTCCGCCATGGGGAAAGCTAACAGCAACTGGATGGCAGGTGCGCTGACAGGAGGCCTCCCCCTCCCGCTCCTGCAGTCTCTCACCGCATGCCAGTGTCAGCCATTCTCCTCTGAACAGGTGCTCTGGCCCCTGCTTCTCCAGACAGTGGCACTATCCAGTCACCAGAAAGCTGCTCAAGGTCCTAGCCAACCGCAGAGGTGCTTGGGGTGGGCAGTGGGGCAACCCACTGAGACCTTTCTAGGGCACTCTCCTGTACTCCAGGGGCTGTGGAATATTGCTTTAGCAACAAGGATTAGAGCTGTAAAAGCAAGCCGTGGAAATTGCCCTCCGACTCAGAAGGCAGGATGGAGCAGATGCCACGCACTGCTGTCCACTAGTCTGTCCTCACTTTCACTTCCTTTTTTTTTTTTTTTTCCTCAAACTCACAGTAACTCTCCTGCCTCAGCTTCCTGAGTGCTGGGATTATAGGTAAATACCCTCTATACCATCTGTGGGTCTCCATACTACATGGGTGCTTCTGGAAACAAAATGGGGGTTCCTCTGTGCTCTGATAGCCCTTCTGCTCTGACCTCTTTATCCCCTCTTTCAGTACAGTTAAGCTTTACAGGAAGCTGGGGGAGAGGGGCTCTGAAGCTGACCTCTGACCTCTGAAGCTAAACCCAGCCCATACCTTGAGTGTCCAGGCTCTTGTCAGCGTAGACCTTGTAGGTGAAGGCATGCCGCAGGGCCAAGGCTGCGAAGAACATCTCAACACAGATGATGAAGTCCTGGTAGCCAGCAGCCACAGTGCCCTCACCCACTGACACGCGGGCTGAGTTGATCTTGGGGATGGCCCCACACTTCTCTAAGATGGCCAGAAGCATGCCTGGACAGGGAGAGGCACTGTCTGGTCACACACTGGACCCCTTCCCATGCCCTTCATTCACGCAGTGCCGCCCAGATAGCCATATATTCCAGGGTACATGAGGGCTCATTTGCTCCTGGAGGCAGGCCTCTGCAAAGCCGACCCTCAGCTACCTGTCAGCCAGAAAACTGGTCGGCTGCACTGAAGCTTCCTGCAAGCCTCAGTCCTCCCAAGTACCCAGTGGCCAAGGTATCTTTAGAGTTCCAGGCCAGGATCTTAAAGGACAGCACTTTGGCCTGGGACCCACAGTTCTGAGAACATGAATAGGAGTGGGACATGGGACTGAAAAGGGGGTGGGCGTAGGGACTGTGATCACCAGGCTGAGAGGAGGCTGACCTTGCCAGAAGGAGAGAAAAATGACGGACTTGACCATGAAGAACTTGAGGACAGGGCTGTAGGGGCTGAGCAGCTCCCGCGTGGCGAAGTAGAAGAGGAAGAGGGCGTAGAGGGCCAGGCTGACTGAGATGTTGTAGATGATGGTCACATAGAGGTACCCACTGGTGACACTGTGGAACAGGCATGCTGTGGCTGGGACCAAGCCTGCGAGGGCACACGGCTCCCTCCTCTGCCCTGCCCATAACCTGTTTCCCATGTGCTTTCTGGCAAGGCACAACGACCCACTGGAGGGAGGGGACAGGGGATGTGGGACACACTGGGAATGTGGTTCAGGGATGGGCTTGTGCACAGGCCAGCCTTCCATGCACCTCCCTCACTCATGTGGCAGCCGCGCTCGAAGCCCATTCCTGAGGGAAGCTAGGGCTATGCCAGAGTTCAGAGACTACTGTGAGGTGACAAGTGTCACGGTGAGTACTCCTAAGCTGCTCTCCGGCCTTGGTGCTCTCGTCTGCCTCAGTGGGCTATGGTACAGGTTACAGGTGATGGTAAGAACTCAGAGCACAGGCCCAGATGTAAGGCCAACATGGAGAACCCACAAATAAACAGGTGCAGCTAGTTTATACAGCGGGGCCTTAAGACTGCCTCCTGGGGCTTCTTCACTTTCAGAACCTGTTTCAGAGTAGCCAGCACCTACTGAGACTCAACCATGGTTGCTACTGTATATCCTGAATACGAACACAGCTGGCTAAGAGCTGGCAAAGATGGCCACTGCCAGGCTCAGGCTCAGAGATTCAGGGAGGTCTGAGCCCTGTGCAGTTTAGGGAGATCACAGGCATGGGCTCTGTCAAGGTAGGGCACCCACCCTGTGACAATACTCTACTCTACCCACAGATCCCAGAGGAGGACCCCTGCTTACTCAAAGTCCCCGTCCCGGTACTTGCCGAAGGCCTGGAGAATAACGGTGCTGACGGCCATGAGTGGCTTCACCACACAGAACTGTAGGGTGGCCTGTTTGGAAGACAGACAAGGCAGGATAAAGTAGGGGTGTGGGATTTGGCAGCTGGACCTTTGCTGGTTGCTACGGAGGAGGAAAAAGGAACTGTCTTCGGGGGAGGTGCAGTATGTAAGGAGACAAGAGGAGGCTGGGAACTCTAGGACTAGGCTAGGAACTGTAGGGCCCCAGGGACCAGGAGGAGAAGACACCTCAGAGAGCTCAGGTGATGAGGACTCAGGAAGGGGCAGGGTCTAGGCAGATGGAGCAGCTCCGGGCCACCGAGATGGCTCAGGAGGTAAAGGCACTTGTTTGCCAACCCTGCTGACTTAAGTTTGACCCTCAGGACACACAGGGGAAGGAGAGGACCTCCTGCAAGTCACACACACAAGCACACATGCATACATGAATGAGTGAGTACATGAGTGCTCATATAGTTCATACAGAGGCTCGCCCAGGGCAGAGTGTGAACTAGGACAGGGAGTGGGCGCTCTAGTGCAGCAGCGGGGAGGTGGCTGGGGAGAACAGCAGGTCCAGGACCTCGTGCTCTGGGAAAGAGGGCTCCGGTGAGGATATGCCCACACAGGGAGCAAGTAAGGGCAAGGGCCAGGGCTTCCCATCTTCTCACCCTCCCTGTCCGCTTCCTTGCCCACGCTCAGGCCCGGGACAGGGTTTCTATGGAGCCAGGGTCTGAACAGACTGGAGATAGCCTTCAAGAGCAGCAAGTGGGGAGAGGACACCCCTTTAATAGGTGGGAGCCCCAAAAGGTATGTGGGAATTCAGGCCTGGTTGACAATTCGCTGTAGTCACTCAGGCAGTTGTCTGGTCTCTGAGTGGTAGCCATCTGCTTAAATGTTTAATGACCCATGTCCACAGCACAGAGTTGCAAGTATGGGGATGGAAGAGCTGGAGAGCAGTGTCCCCTTGAGGCTAGCTACTCTGTGCACAGTCAGGCTTTTGCAAACTTGCTTAAACGGGGGAGGATGTGCTAAGCCAGCCCTGCTGTTCCTGTAATCCAGCGGGGTATCACCCCCAGACTCCCACTGGCCTAAAAGCCATCATCCTCAGCCAGGAGCCCAAGTGAAGGGGAGGCAGTAGGCACATGAAGCTCTAGCCACATGGCTTGGCCAGTGTGGCTCTGGAAAGGACCAGTGGCTGGAGCAGAAGAGCAGCAGAAGGGAACCCATCTCTACTCCACTGAGGACCTGGCCTGTGGCAGAGCCATGGCAGAGAAACACGTGACAGGGGAGCTGTGTGGTACTATCAGAAAGCCCCACAGAATCCCTGGGCTGCAAATCTCGATCCAGAGGGAGTGAGAGGAAGGGAGAAGGGCAGGGCTTCACACCACAGTGCCCAGTGAGCTGGCAGGGGCTGCTCCCTGTGGGGTACTTTCATCACCTCACTCATGGACAAGGAAACTGAGACACTGAGCTGAACTGGCAGTCTCAGGGACTGGAGACCAAGCCTGCTAGCAGGTCCCGACACTGTTGTCCATGGGTCAGTCTGAGATCTACAGACCAGGTGAGATGTCAAAAACATGTGTCAGTCCCAGGAGTGGGCAGTCCTTTGGGCTGGTGGTTCACTGATCCGAGAATCTCTACTTCCCTCCCTTCCTCTCCCCTTTCCCTGCCTCTGTCCCTTCCCCCTTCCTCCCTCCCGTCTCCTCATAGGCAGTGCTAGGGACAGAACCCAGGACCTCACAGGCTTGAGGCAAGTGCTTTTCCACCACATTGTAGCCGCAGCCCAGGAATTTCCCCTTTTAACAAGGGCTCCAAGAGACTCAGACTCTGGGCTCTGGGCCCGAGGACATCCTGGCCCACCCTGTGGCTCTGGAATGAAGACAGGACTATGTGCCGTGGGCTGGCCTATGGAGCCTTCACATGTTCCTCTCCTCTCACTGACCTCACTGCCATGTCAGGGTACAAAATCGGAGCCTCAGGGCCCACCGGGAGGGGAACCATATGTCCCTAGTGGTGATTGAGGTGAGGCTACTGTGCTCTCTACTCAGAGAGCGAAACTTTGAGGACAATGTAATGATCAAAAGCTGCTATGAGTCACAGCTGGGCCTGGACTGGGTAGCTGAACCATGTAAACAAAGGCTCTGCAAGCCCCACCCTGGACCAGGACCATGTTAACCCCTTCTGGGCCACTCCATGGGAGAGAACCTGATGCTCCCTTAGGGAGGCAGAACTAGTAGCAGAGTCGAAGCCTGGGCATATCCAGTGACATGCTGTTGTGTGGGTAGCCATGCTGTGGGCCCTGAGCCCTTCACAGAGGCTGAAAACAGGATAGCCCTTGGGTGGGCTGCAGTGACCCCAGCAGTGGTGGAGGGGGTGTCATTTCTCTCTTGACCACTTGGTCATGCTGGAGGGACTGTCAGAAGCCCTGCAGAGGCCAAGGACAGTCATGAAGACTGGCACCCTCAGGTGCTAACTCTCTGAAACAGCCAGAGCTGTGCTGAAGGCTTACATCCCCTACCTCATCTGCTCCTTTTAGTCACCCCATTTTAATGATGTAAACATTGCCATCCCCATTTTACAGACAGACAAACAAGCTCAGAGAGGTTAAGTAAATGATCCGAGGTCACACAGTCAGAGAAGCTGGAAGTCCAACTCTAGCCAGGAAGTGGTAGCCAAAGGAATCAGAAGCTATGGCAACGCGACTGGAATGAGGGAGACGGTAGGAACTGCAGTCTGGTCTGCTATGTATCTTTAATGCCTAAACCCGTTGCCCCAGAAACTGGGATGAGTTTTCAAACTGACAGTCTAGAACCCCTGTGTGCTTCCTGGCTCTTGAACACACAGCAAGATTCAGTCCAAATGAACAAGACTCTGACCAGCTTCTCTGGCTCCAGGCTGCCCCTGATACTCCCGGGATGTCCGCTGCCAGCCTCAGCAGATGCTGCTAACACGTTATCTCCAGAATGGCTTGGGGACGGCTGGGGGCCTGAGGACCTCCACAGGTATGGCACAAGACAGCGATTCATGGCCCTTAGGGCTGCAGGTCTGAACCAGAGCCCCCAGCCTGCTCCTCCTGACCTGGGGTTCCCTCGGGGCACTTACCTGTTTGCAGAACCGCAGGAACCCGATGGAGTAGGTCTTTCCCCAGAGGCAGCATGTGCCGTACATACAGCTCGACCTGGGAAAGACAAGTAGAGAGGGCTGGGAGATGGAAACGGCAGGGCCGGGAAGGGCTGCCCTCCACATCAACCAAGCCAGGGGGTGGGGGTGGTCCATGTGGTCCATGTCCACCTGCGAGCCCATGTGCGACTCAGGAAGCCATCATACTCACTCGATGGCCTTTCCTCTGATCTCAGACATGATGGCGCTCTCTCCCCCAAGGTACTCATAGCACAGGCTCAGGAAGTTGTAGATGACAAAGGCTGTGAAGTCCAGAGCAGAGTGTTCAGGTCAGCAGAATGGCCACTCAAAAGAGAATAGCAGGGACAGTAGCGGAGCCGCAGCCACGCTTAGCCCCTGCAGTCTCCCAGTGTCTAACTGTCTTGGGATAATGGGGTAGCATAGAGTTGGGGCAAAGAGCCATGGACCCCTGGACCAGACTGCCCATCTGTGGACCATGCTTCTATTACTTAAGAGCTGTGTGACTCGGGTTTCTCAAGCTCTCTGTGCCTGCCTCCTCATCTGTGACCTGGGAACAAGTGCTTCCTTAGGGCCTGCTGTGGCAAGAACAGTGACCGTATGAGGCCCTGCCGAAGGTTGGGTTCCCAGGACAGTGCTCAGGAAATGGTGTGATGCTCTTTCCAGGCTGTGAACACACGCAGGTAGGAACTGCGTCCTACTCCCAGTACCAAGGCAAAGCCCTGGTACCTGTGCCCACAGCTGGCACTGAAGAAATGAAAGTCAAGGGGACGGATGTGGCACCTAGCCAGAAGTGGCAAGGGCCCAGGGCAGGCCATGGGCCTGCTCTCAGGCTGGCTCTCACAGCACTCTCCCTCTGGCAGGCCAGGAAGACAACCTTTCTCGAGGTGGATCCTCCAGAGAAGCCACAGGGCCCAACACCGCCTCCTCTTACTAAGCAGTCCCTGTGATGCCTTCCTGTGGAGGACCTGAGCTCACACCCTTCCCTTTCTGTGTCACAAGGTGTGTCAGCATGTGCCTGGGCCGCCGGTCAACCATGCCACACCCATCTGTGAGTGAGTTGCTCCGGCCACCGCTGCACTCAGCACAGGACTGTCTACCTGGATGCCAGTGGGCCGCTTTATCCAAAGGTCATCAGTGAGGCAATGATGGGCCTCATCAATTCTCAGAGAAAGGAGACGGGAGACAACCTCCTTAGACATAACTCAGCCGCTCAAATCAGGGCCCCTGACCATCTGAAAAAATCCCCTTCCTAGAAAAATGTAGGCTCACCTAGATCAGATCCAAACATCCAGCAATGGCGTTTACACCAGAGGCCTCCACACCGGCCAGAAACAAGAGAGGCTGACATGTGACCAGGATCGGTGTAACTCAGGCAGCAGGTTGTCACCCTGCCACACACTGAGTTTGGTTCTAGATCTGGTCTCTAGGAAGGCCCTATTCATTCTGAATACCTGCCATAGCCTGTATGCCAGGCCATGTCCTAGGCCCAGGGACACATTAGTGACCACGAGACCCACAGTGCAGAGGGAAGTGATGGTCTCACATACTCCTGCCCTGGACTATTGGGTATCTAGAACTTTCTGCTCCATTCTAGATACCACATGTCAAGTTATAGACAGGAGTATGCCATCAGGGGGAAGGATGAGGATCAAGATGAAGCATGGAAGCTTGTCCACACAGGAGACAGGAGCCTCATGGTCTCAGGCCAGATCCCATGAGAGCATCACTTAACAGAATAAACAAACTTTTCTCCCTCCCTGGTTTTCAGGACAGGGGCTCATCATGTAGCTGAGGCTGGCCCCAAACTGGCAGAGGTCCTTTGACCTTTGTCTCCCAAAAGTGCTGGATTACATGCATGTGCCATCATACCTGACTTAGAAAGAATCTTTCTAATGAGCATCATCGTTAGAGGAGGCTGTGAGCTGCCCATTAGATACAGGTATCAGCAGCAGGCACCCCTTAGCAGAGATGGGGTCCCTCCAGCCCTCGGTGGCAGCTTCTCTAGAAGGTAACCGCCTAGACAGGAGGCTACAGTCCAAGCCACTCCAGCGCACTCAGAGTCTCAGCTGTAGTCCCCACAAACAGCACTCAGCCTGGAAGCTCAGGACTTCAGTGAGAACCTGTTCAGAGGAGTCCTCTAGCTGGCCCTGCAGCTGAGCCCCAGGCCAGGAGCTACACCCCAGCCCATGTACACCACTGGCTATGACCTATTGTACACTAGGTACCGTGCACAGACCTGATGGTCCTTCCTGCATCTGGCTGCTCTTGCCTCTGTCAAAGCTGAGCACCTTCAGCTGGTCTCTGCCCCTGCCACCCAGAAACTGAGTTGATCTGGAAAGACCGAGTTGTCTGGGACATTCCAGATAACTGAGGACATGTCTAGAAAACTGAACTGCCTCCTGTGGACTGTGCTCCTTTCTGCTTGGTACGCTGAGTCTCAGAACATTCCTTCCCACTTTTCAGGGGCACATGGCCAATCACAGTACAATGGACCAATCCTGGTGGACGGGGACCTGCCCCTATGTAAATGTCGCCAGTTCTAAGCTGCTCCAAAACCCTCCTCCCTCCTGGTTCCTCATCTGTGAATCCTGCTTGTCCCTGCTCCGGGCACCCCACATGCTGCTTCTGATCCCTCTCCCATTGGCCCTCTCCCTTTCCTCAGATCCACTGAGCTCTCACACTTCTTGTCTGTGAGTGCCATTACATGTCAGGGTGTGTCCTACTGGCAGCAAACTGGCCTATGGCTCTTTCTTTAATTACACTCGTTTATTTGTGTGGACACACATGTGCCACAGCATGGGTATGGAGATGAGAGGACACCTTGCAGGGGCTGCCTCTCTCCTTTCATCATGTGGATCCTGGGGCGTGAACTCAGGTCATTCACCCTGGCGGCAGGTGTCTTTACCCGCTGAGCTGTCTCGCTGCCCCTGAACACTGTCAGGAAAGATGGTTCCTTTGGGGCCACATGTCAAGATCCAGGGTATCTAAAGTTTGAACTCTGGGGCCAGCTGTGATGTTGTACAGCTGTAATGCTGGTGCAAAGGAGGCTGCGGCGTGAGGCCATGAATTTGAGGCCAACCTGGGCTACACAGCGAGACCTATCTCAAAAACCAGATCTGAACTCTGAGACGGGGTCAGAGACACGGTACATGTTAAGTCCTAAGGAGTCCACACTTCTGTTGGGGAAACAAGGGTTCTTTTCTTCTCCTTCACCAAGCCTGGCACACATCAAATCCTGGCTGCTAAGAACCAGGCAGGAGTCTGCCTCTCAGTCATCGCTATCAGGTAATACTGGGCAAGCTTTTTAGTTCTGCTTTCACAGTGTGCCATGGGCGTGTGACACATGCTCCACCTGCTAATGGGAGGTAAGAGTGTGCTAACGATGCTGAAGAGCCCAGGGTAAACTGTGAACACCGCACAGACATCTGTGACAAAACATACTGGAGGGGGCAGAGGAAGCTGCCTCTCCGCCTCTAGTCACAGAGCCTCCCAGGCTCCTACCTCACCCCAAACGCGATCAGACAGCAAAATGCATATGGCTCATCAGATGAGTGCTGTATGGAGCTGGGGAAAGGTACCTAACATCTCTGAGACTCAGCTCTTGCTTGGTTGCTAACTAAACAATAAAATTTAAATAACTAAATACATAAAAGGAAAGAAAAAACACCAAAAAACAAACCAAAACAACAAACAACAACAAAACCACAACAAGAGACAAGAAAAGATCTCAGGCCCTAAGTCCACCAGGCCTCCAGTGTGGTGATGATTATTCTGTCTTCTATGAGATTTTGGAACTCTGAGGTTGAAAGCAAGCTCTTAACAGCCAAGGAGAATATGCAAGAGCTAGGCAGGATCAGAATCCAGCAGACTTCCCAAAGGCAGCAGCGGGGGCTAATGCCCGTGAGAAGAGGCTTGTGGGATCAGAGGACACTTCCCATCCTGCAGGTGTAGCTCCTTCCCACAGAGCAACCCAAGAGAGACACTTCAGACTTTTCACTGGCATCCCATGCACACGCTTTCTCAGGAGGCTGGTGGAAGACAGCCCCAGCCAACAGCGAGAACAAACCACAAATGAAGGAGAAAAACCAGTGCTAACATACCATTGCCTTAGGGAAAGCGGGCTGGTTACTTAAAAATCCAACCGTCATAGCGTTCAGAGATAAATGAATGACAAGGCCAGAAGCCCGGACAAACCCAAAATTAAGACAAGTCGTTAGTAGCTGTAGCAAAACCCAGGCTTCTACACAGAAAGGACCAGGAAGGACCTGCAAGCACAGCACCCAGGGGTGGGGACGAGAGGACCAATCCAGATGCCTGAGGAGCAGTCACAAAATGCAGCAACAAAAAAAGGAGCCGAGCGTGGGGCAGTGCAAGGCTGCACTGTGGACAATATTTACACATACAAATGCAAACACTAAAGGCACACCCAAAAAAACTGTAGTCCAGGCTCATCTGCAAGGCAGGAAAAAAAGAAGTGTTCGTGAGTGTGCGCGTGTATGCGTGTGTGTGTGTGTGTGTGTGTGTGTGTGTGTGTGTGTGTGCGCGCTTTCTTAGTTTGAACACAGAGGCAGAAGAGATCTGAAAGGAAGTCCAGAAGGGACAGGTGAGCGTGAGGGCCAGGCAGCTGACTCAAGATACTAAAAGCCAGTGTCTTCAGGCAGCCTCAGCTCCAGGGCGGTGCTGTCTGTAGGCTCCCGGGGAGATGACAGGCCAGAGAGAAAAGCGTTGCTAGGGGATGAGTGGCACTTCCTGAGCTGACCCTTCCACTGGCAGTGGGGCTGGCTGCGACAGGTGGGAGGAACAAAGAGGCTTCTGAAGTGGGGGTGCCGCCTGCCATCTGCTGCTACTCTGGGATGCTGAATGAGGACAGACTGGTTGCTCCCCTCGTGTCCCCACCGGTTGCTGGATGTCCTATCTTCGGGGCCCAGCAAAGAAGAAAGCTTCTATTTGCCCCCTGCGCTACCTGGGACACACACACACACACACACACACACACACACACACACACACAAACGCAGATACCTACACAGCAAGCAGCAAGGAACAACCTTTTCCTTCTGAAAATAAAACCAGGTGAGCAGCTGTTCCAGGTGCCCACTGCTGGCACCTGCAGGAAGGGCATCTAGCATCGCCCTCTCCAGCCAGAGGTTTCCCTAGGGATTCTGCTTTCAGGAGTATCGAGCACAGAGGAACACTGAGCATGTCCCATTCTGCCTCTACATCCTCTCCTGGAAGAAACTTACGAGAGCACCAGCCAGGGGGAGGGTGCCTGGGAATCAATGCAGCCCCACAGAAGGGCTGCGCAGGGTTCGTAATTTTTTACTCAAAAATTATGGAGTTGGCTGAAATATAGTTTACAGGAAGCACAGGCCTGGCATGTACGAGCCTCCCATTCCTCCAACACACATATACAAGTGGACTGGATTGGGGATGTATTTTAGTTGGCAGAGTGCTTGCTTAGCATAGAAAGCCCTGGCTTTCATGCCCAGCACCACAAAACCAGGTATGGTAGTATATACCTGTAATCCCAGCACTCAAGAGGCAGAGGCAGGAGGATCTCTGGGATTTCCAGGCCAGCCTGGTCTGCAGAGCAAGTTTGAGAACAGCCAGGGCTCTGTTACACAGAGAAACCTTCTTTCAAGGGGAAAAAAGTAAGAGTTTAAGGCTAGGGGGTTGAGAGATGACTCAGCAGTTAAGAGCACTGGCTGCTCCGGAAGAGCAGCACCTAACACCTTCTTCTGGCCTCCTCAGGTACTACTCAGGTACTATGGTGCACAGACATACATACATGCAAGTAAGCATTCATATCCATAAGGGACAGACGGCTGTGCAAACGATATGAAATGCATACCTTTAATCTCAGAACTCAAGAGGTAGAATTGTGAGTTCCAGGCCAGCACGGAGATATGAAGTGGAACCCTGACACCGCCCCCAAAAAAGTCTGAGGCCAGCCTAGGCTACATGAGATCCTGTCTCGAAGGGGGGAAAAAAGGAGTCAAGTGCTGTCATGTGCCTGGCTCTGCTCTCAGGGCACATGAGTGCAGCTTCCTCTCAGGGCTGTATCCACTGAAGAGGCAGGCAATGCCTTGCAACCATGTATGGACAAGAAGGAGGTGACACTGGGGAAGAAGAGAAGAAACAGGATAAAGGTCAGGCCCACACAGGGCCACACAAGGCTAGAAAATCAGACCATGGCAGCTCCCAACACCAGGAAACTACCTGCTGCTCAGCGGGGGTGGAGGCTGATGGGTCTCCTGAAGAGGGTGTGACGGAGGCAAGAGGATTAAGGGAGGATACGAAGGAGCTAAGGAGAAGGCTCTAGTCCTTCCCTTTGAGACACAGCAGAGTACCACATGGACGAGTGGAGGTTGTAGGCCTGGCAACCCCTGTGTAAACCCTCCCACCAAACCTAGGGTTTCTATCCATGGAGGGACCATTTAGAAGTTGTCAACCCAGCTAGAGAAGCCGTAACTGAGAAATAAATGAGCCAGAGGTGGGGCTCCTGCCTCTGGGCACCTGGGAGGGTGTCCCGGGGTTCCCCATACCAAAGCATGTCTGTAAGGGGACCCTTGGGTTATCCATTCATTAGGGACAGATGGACAGCCAGGTGGGGAAGAGGAATCCAGATCAAACAGAGGCTCCAGGGAGGAACTGAGGAACGATGTCCCTGTCCCCCAGATTCTAGAAATGAATGAGAGGGTGCACCTCCTTTGCTCTTGAGGCCCCAGCTCCCCAGGCCTCCCTCAAGCCCCACTGTGTGTCCTCACCCTCATAGCAGTCACGGATGGTGCTGAAGTACACATAGTACTGGTCGTTGGTGAAGAAGAGAAGGCTGAGCCAGGAGTCGAAGGCATAGATGGGCACGATGAAGAGGATTCGTACAATGTGGCGCTGCTCGTTGGGGCGGCTGTAGCAGCGCAGGTGCATGTAGATCTGGGCGAAGGGCACCAGTCAGTCAAGCCCTACTGCTGCCTCCCCCGCCTCCCTCCTGCCTATCCGCCTGCTCCCTCCTGCCTGCTCTGTGGGAGTAGAACGGCCCCTTCCTTGTTTGATGGCCTGATGCAAGTTTACACACCCTAAGCCTCAGTCCTGCTCCGTAAAAGTAGATGATAAAACTTCCATCGTGGGAGTCAAATGGAAGGTGTGGCCGTTATCTACAGGCCACCTTCAGCTACAGGGGACAGTAAGGCCACAGTGTGGTTGAAGTTGTGTCCTCCATGTGTCCTCTTGTCCCTTCTGCCTTCCCAAAGCCAAGTTCCCAGGGTCTCACAGTGGCAGCACTGAGGGAACTGAAGGGCCAATTAGGGTCACCTGGCTACGGCCCCTCTGCCTCGTCTCTTAACAGATGCTTGAGAGGGTGGGACAGACAGAAGCCTCACTCCGAAGGACACAGACACATTTCCAGGCTGTGGGCCTTGGCAGTGTGCTCATGCCGTGCCTGGTTCCTCAGTCTGCTGAACCAAGGCAGCACTGCAATGTCCCCTGGGAGGCAGGAGAGGCAGTGCAACTCTGAGGAAGCAGAGCCAAGAGCGCAGCCCCAGTGCCTGGTCTCAATTCTCATGACATCACTCCTGGCCTGGCCCAGCCCTAGCTGAGGAAAAGGACAAAATATTCCCATCCGCCGTGAGCCAATCTCCTTGGACATTCATAGATCTACAAGAGACTGAGATGTGGCTGGTGAGAAGCCTAAGTAGACTCACCAAACCTCCCTCTTGACCTCCCCAGAGGCCATGAGTACAGGAGACTAGACTGCCCTCCCTGATCTGCTACCCCCATAGAGCAACCAGCTCCTCAGCCACCTCCCTCAGGCTCTCAAGTCTCTCCATTGAAAGGCACGGCCAACAGCTACTGATCGAGGCAGATACACATCTGTGTGTCTCGTCAGGTTCCTGATGCTCTGGCTGCTGCAGGGGGGAAGATGACTCCAGACCACCCGCTCGCAGCTGAGCTGGGGTGTGGGAGAGAAATCCCGGGAAGCAGAGCTTACACTGCTGTCGCCTGGCTTGCCTAAAGCATGCTTTGCTTGACTGGCAACCACACTTTGTTAGACTGGGACACTTAGGAAGGTTACCCCTTCGCTCCCAGGTACCTGGTGGCAGGTGATGAGGAGAGCTGTCCACACAAAGAAGCCGGAGATGGCCTGGGCGGCGGGGGTCATCAGGAACATAGGCTGCTCCATGGCTGTGGGACTGCCCTCGGGGGTGGCAGAGACGCTAGGTGAGGCTGCTGCGGTGGTGGGTGCTGCTGGGTCGGGGGCCAGCGCAGCCCCCCTCACTGTCATGGTTCCCAGCAGCAGCACGCTCCCTGAGAGAATGCCTTGGAATGAATGATGGGCTGGCCTAGGGAAGAAATCGGAGTGAGTAGAAGCGTTAGAAACACTCTTCCGGGTCTGTACCACTGGCCCCTGCCATGTTCTGCCCTCGCCCTGGCTTCTCTAGGCCAGTACACAGAGTCCTTGTGCTGTTCTGAGACCTTAGTCACATCAGGACCTTTGTTTGCCAAAAGTCCCCAACATTCCCTAGAAAGTTAGGAGACCAAAACATGGCTGGGAACGCAGGGGTACAGAAGAGCACTGCTCTTCAGCTGTCAAGAACAGCTTGGCCCACCTGCTACCCTGGCAGTCCCCAAGTTCTGCTGCGGCAAGCTGGAGCCCGAACAGTCTCCTCTCACTCTCCTTTAGAGGACAGTGTTGCTACGTATAGGCCAGGCAGGCCTTGAGCTCACAATCCTCCTGCCTCAGGCTCCCAGTGTTGGGATTACAGATGTGCACCACCCTGATGTGGTAAATTGTTTTCGTTGTTGTTTGGTTTTGGGAAACAGGGTTTCTTAGTGTAGCCTCAAGTATCCAGGAACTCACTCCATAGACCAGGCTGGCCTCGAAGTCACAGAGATCCACCTGCTTCTGCCTTCTTAATGCTGGGATTAAAGGCGTGTACCACTACTATCTCGCTTGGCAAAATTGTTTTACTGCTATGGGCATCTACCTGAAGGGCCTAGTTTTTGAGATTTCTCTCTGAATTCCCTAATGGCTACCAGCCAGCCATCCTGTGGGCCCAGCTGTGCTATCTTGGAGATTTTATGGCTCTTCCCAATTTGTGCACCTCTAAACTATTGAATCCAGGACTTCACATATGCCAGACAAGCACTCTACCACTGATTTGTACACCAGTCCCTAAGAATTACCTTCTAACTCAGCCTAGGAATCCTCTTTCCTAAAACCCAGCCCAGACACTCCCCCAAACGGACACAGCAACCCATTTCACATGCCCTTACTAGTCTCTAGGGAACACATGGTCTGCATTCTCTCCATGTATTTGTCTTCCTGCCTATTCGGAGGTTCTTTCAGTACCCTATTTCGGTGTCTGAATCCCCAGCACCAACCCCAGCACCCAGGCCATTTGTAATGCTCAACTTCACTACCGCCTTTCAAGCCCTATTTCAAGAGCATGTGAGTGAGGTGCCCCCCACACAAGGAACAAGGCCGAACTAAGGGAATGGACATCAAGGAACTTTCCAGTGGGAAAGCGAAGTGGGGGGGCGGATGGTGCCTCTGTGGAAGCAAAGCCTTTCTAGATAGAGAGCTGGGATCCCATCGACATGAAGAAGGAACCTCCACGTGGCCCAGAAGAGCTGCTGTCAGGTACCTACCGGATGTTTACCAATAGGAGCAAGGCTGGGCCAGAGGCCGGAGTTACTTTCAAAGAGCAAAGCTTTCTAGGATCATGGGAATGTGTTCTTGGGAGTGTGATGCTTCAGACTGACTGCCACAGTGACAGCACTAGGAGGCGGGGTCTTTGGGGGTGATTAGGTCTGGAGGGTGGAATCCTCATAAAGGGGATTAGTACCCTGGTGTGAGACCCCTTTCCTTTTCTGCAACTTGGAGACAAAGAAGAGTTGCCTATGAGCAAGAAATGGGTCCCACTGGACGGCGTGCTCAGTGCCTAGATCCCAACTGCCTAGCCTCTAGAACTGGGAGGAACAGGCCAGTGTCCCAGGTTCTGCTGCAGCAGCTGGAGAGGAGTCCAACCACCCCTCTACCCCAGCGTCGGAGCCCTGAGAGCCTTATCCTCTTCAGTGCTGCCACCTACTGACAACAGTGACTGCCACCCAGCCATCAGGTGACCCGGAAGACCAACCGCCCAAACCACCGACTCTGGCCATGAACCCCCCCCTCCCCCCGCACCAGTGCAGCACAGCTGAGAGGGTAAGTGGAGAGACTGGGCACTTCCTATAGACTCTGGAGAAGAGGCTGGCCTGAAACGTAGATCCTGGCTTCATCACTGGCCGAGAGGACCAACTTCACAGTCCCTTCCCAACTGGGACCTGGCTAGAGCCCCTTACATTGCTCTTCTCTTTCATATAAACAATCCCTAACCCACCAACCAAAAGACAGATTCAAGACTCAAAAACGGAGAAAGCACCTAAATTGGGAAACTCAAAAAATGGAGAAGGTGTCTATATATAAAGACTGGCGGCAAGTTCTGGAAAAAAAAAAAAAAGACGCCGTGACAGCCTAATAATAGCTGCTGTAAGGCACGGCTGCCAAGTTGAAAGCCAGCGCCTGAGACATTTCTGTAGAAAGGTTTGCACTGTGAAGTAACGTCTTTGCCTGTCACCCTAGATTAAAAGAATAAACATGGGGGTGAGCAAGCAAGAACAAATACCCCTAAATCTCTAGCATTTCCCCCAAATATTATCTCATGTTTGTTTTCTTTCCCCTGGTGGCAACTTTGAAGTGACATTACCTACATTTTGGAACTAGAAAAAGATGTGGAACGTGGCTTACAGTTTCCTGCCAAATGATTGGAAGGTTTCTAGAACATTCTCTCAGGCAACAGTTAAAGCAATGCCCTCACTCACAGACACTGGTCCCTGGCCCCCTGGAAAGGCTGGTGTAGACCCAAGACCCACAAGGAGGCTGCCGACCACATCTGCAACCCAGCCTACATCACACTAAGCTCTTCAAACTGTTTGTTCACAGTGTGTATAGGAGAGGAGGGATGCTGGGTCCCACTGTTCCACACCTATGACAGACAGAAGTCTCCTGGGAGGACGCACTCGCCGGCCTAGATCCCAGAACAAACAGAGCACCGGCTTGGCTTGGCTTAGCACCGGAGCTTCAGCGAAGCAAGAGTGGCTGTGGCTGGGGTAACCGCAGCTGGTACAGACCCCTCTGGTCCACATGGTCTCTGTGGTTTCCCATGTTCCTCAAGATGAGGGGAGACATACAAGACAAGGCTCAGAATTCCAACTGCTCTAGCAGGTTCCCTTCTTCTTGGGGAGGGGTCCTCTGTGTACAGGTGTGCTTGCATGTGCATGCAGTTGTTTTTGAGGCAGGGTCTCTCATTGGCTTGGGGCTTTCCAACCCAGCTACCTCTTCTCTTTGTTTTCTACATGGGTTCTGGGATCCAACTCCAAAGCTCGCTCTTGTGTGGTTGACACCTTGACCACGAGCCATCTCCCCAGCCCATGGTTCCCACTCTTGGTTGGGCAGCTGTCAACATTCTGCCAGGGCTGCGGTAGAGGACTGCAGGGGTACAGGGCCTCCTCCAGGGCTTGGGAAGACCCAGCTTTGACCTTGAGGAACTCACAGCTCACACTCCTGCACCACTGCACAGTGCGAGATGCGGAGGTCGCATCCCGCCACGCTGCTGAGAGGTGACAGCCTGGAGGTCAGTGTGGCCACGAGTCTGATGGGCAAGGACTTACCAGCAGCATCTAAACACAGAAGAGTCTAAAGGCACCGCAGCCAACTTCAAGCTCTGAAGACGCTGCATGGGATTCCCACCAGGAGAGAATTCTTGATCTACAGTATTTCAGGGCAACTATGTAAGTGACAGGGGTTTCAGTTTAGAGAAACCCCAAAGATAAACAGGCTTACAGTTAAAAGTGGCCATCGTAGGACTGGCAAGTTGCTCGCGTAAAGGCACTTGCTGCCAAGCCTGATGACCTCAGTTCAACCCCTGGAACTAACGTGGAGGTGGAAATTGTCCTCTGATCACTCCCCACATCACTCACTCACTCACTCTCACACACACACACACATACACACACGCTCATACACCCACACACACTCACACACGCACTAATAATAGCAATTATGACAGTAAGTAAAATGGCATTTTAAGTGGATTCGGGCATAACCATGAGAACTCTGACGAGGACAGGACAGGCAGACTGCAGGGATCAACAACTCACTTACAAGGCCTCCAGGGGAGCAACTGCCAAAATAATTAGCAGGCCTGATAATGGCGGAGAAAGCAGGAGCTGTAAAGAGGGCCTCTTGCAGGACACACTGAAGGCCGCCTAGCCTCTGCTGGTCTAGGTCGGCTAGTGGTGAACACGACACGCCGTGTCCAACTGTTCACGACCACCAATTAGTCTGTTTCTGCTTCAGCCTTTCCTCCTGTCACTCGATGTGGATTTCTGTTCAGATAAATGCTGATTGCATCATTTCAGGCTAAACCTCAAATAAGTGCTTTTTTGGTGGTGGTGGTGCTGGCAGGGTCTCCCCAGGTATCCCTGGCTGGCCTGGAACTCAAAGAGAGCCACCTGTCACTACTTCCCGAGCACTGGGACCAAAGGTGTGTGCCACCAGGCCTGGCCCTAAATAAATGCTTTTTTATGTGAGAAAATTTTAATGTAAAATGGATTGTGGGTTTTTTTTTTTTTTTTTTAATTTGCTCTGTGACAGGGTGTTAACACGTGGTGCAGGCTAGCCTTGGAGGAGCAGCAATCCTCCCCTGCCTCAGCCTTTCTAGTGCTGGGACTACAGGCATTACCCACCGTGTTCACTTAGACCTTGGGGTTTAGTTGATTTTAGATTTTAATTTTTTTAATGTAAGAGTTGTATGAATATTTTGCCTGCGTGTATATATGGGTACCACATGTGTACCTGGTGCCCCTGGAGGTCAGAAGAAGGCATCAGATCCCCTGAACTAGAATTACAGATGGTTGTGAGCTGCCGTATGGATGCTGGTTCTCTGCAAGAGCCGTGGACGCTCTAACTGCTGAGCCATCTCTCCAGCCTCAGACTGGGCTTTTAACACAAAGTGTAAAACTATAAAAGACACCAGGTGTGGTGGCACATACCTTTAATGCAGCACTCAGGAAGCAGAGGCAGGCAGAATTCTAAGTTTGAGGCCAGCCTGGTCTACAGAGAGAGTTCCAATCATTCGGAGCTACACAGTAAGACCTCCTCTCAAAAGACAGGGAGGGGGAAGAGGAAGAGGGGAGAGAGAGAGGAGAGAGTAGTGCACATACAATTATGGGTTGTTATGTTAATTGAGGTGGGAAGGCCTGCCCACTGTGGGTGACACCATTCCCTAGACAGGGAATCCTGAATGGTCTGACAGTGGAGAAAGCAAGCTGGACACAAGCACACATGTACTGGCTTCTGACTGAAATGTTGAGCAGCTGCTTCAAGCCCCTGATGCCTCGGCCTCTTCACCCTGATGGACTATAACCAGGAACTGTAAGCTACAATAAGCTCTTTCTCCTTTAAAAAGCCTGAGAATAGCCCATATATGAAGACTGAATCAACTACTACATCCAGACCTCAGACTACTCAGCATTAAAAACGAGAGAGTCGGCCTGGTGGTGGTGGTGGTGGTGGTGGTTGTAAACATGTTTAAATCCCGGAGCTTGGGAGGCAGAAGCAGGTGGATCTCTTGAGTTTGAGGCCAGCCTGGTCTACAAAGTGTGTTCTAGGACAGCCAGGACTACAGAAAACAGGCCAAAACTCTGTCTTAAAAAACAAAAAACACAACACTAGGTACAAGAAGCCCTCTGCGTTGGCCAGGACTATTCAGGAGACTACTAAAACATTCAGCCTATTATTATTACCCCTGCTTACACTCCAGAGGTGGAAGTTAAACTCCTATTGCTGAAGACACCATGCACTTCAGACACAGGGCCCAGTGGTCCTGAGCTGCAAATGGCCTGAATGTCTGTCTCCTTAAGGACTAACATCCACGGTATCTGAAGGCCTTATTACACAAGCTTTCAAAAGAGGGAGGCAACCAACAACAGTCCTACCCAGCTATGTCGCTCATGAACAACAACCAGCATGACAATATAACCCTAAGGATATGGTAATGGCACGAACAGTGTGGCCGCTACCAACAGCGTGCTAACTGAACAAGACCTGCTCAAGAGAGAAATCATGCCTGGTACTGGAAACCTAGCCAAACGAAGGAATTTAAAAGGTAAAGTATCAATGCACGCCCCACTGGGTTGGCCTGAGGGCATTATGCTTACTCAAAGCAGCCAATCAGAAACGATGAGTCCATTTATGGAATATTTTCAACATGACAAGGCTATGAAGGTGGAGCTGAGGTGAGCGGTCAGCAGAGACCAGGGACAATGAGAAAGTGTTGGGCAAGCAGGTTCTTTCTAGTGACGAGACAGCTGCCGTCTTGACAGTAGTGATGGGCCCACAAATCCACATGAGATAAAGCACACAGAACTACAGACACAGGCACTCCTTCAGGCAACCACACAGGACTAAGTCTATAGCCTGATTCCCATCGTGCTGTGGCTCCCCTGAACTACTCTGATGCAGCTACAGCCAAGGAGGATGTCACCAATGGTGGCACCATTTACACCAGGCCTGTAACTTCCTGCGGGTCTTCATTTGTTTCAAATAGAGGGTTCGTTTTTGTATTTTGGTCTGGTTTTTTGATTTTAGATTTTATTTTATTTTATTTTATTTTGTTTTATGAGTATGAGTATTCTGCCTGTATATGTGTTCTGTGCACAAGAGTACCTGGCATCCTTGGAGGCCACAAGATGGTGTCGGATCCCCTGGAAGTAGAGTTACAGATGGTTGTAGGCCACCGTGGGGGTGCTGGGAACTGAACCTAGGCCTTCTGTAAGATAAACAAGTGTTCTTAACTGCTGAGCAATCTCTCTAGCCCAAAACAGACTTTTTAAAAATCTAGCATGTAGAGATGCCTCTTAGTATACTATATGAGTAAATAGATAGATAGATAGATAGATAGATAGATAGATAGATAGATAGATAGATAGATAGATAAATAAATAACATGGTGCTATATCCCCGCCCTATGCCCACTGCCCAAGGTTGGCCTTAAGTTCCTGTGTTCACAGGATCCTCCTCGGGTAGGGTGAAGCTCAGTTGGTAGCGCGCTTGCCTAGCACACCTGAAGCCCTGGATGCAGCTCTCAGCATTGCACAGAAGTGAGCATGGCGGTCCGCAATGGTAATGCATGGGGAACAGGGGAAAGGGCGCAGGGCTCAAGGTCATCCCTGATACAGATCAGGTTCAAGGCCAGACTGGGCTACACAAGTCTCTGTCTCAAAAAGGAAAATAATAATAATAAAAAAAAAATTCCTCCTGCCCCAGCCTCCCAGAGCCAGAGCTCAATACCTCTTTTAAAGTGAAAAGAGAAAGCTGAGTAAGATCATATAGGTAACTGCTGAGAGCCACTGTGGGGGAGGGAGAGAGGGTCTGTGGCGGGTAAGGAATTTTCCATTAAGAAACACTCAGAAGACCAAACATCAACCCCCCCCCCACCCGAAGTTAAAAGCAGACTGAGGAGGTGCCCAAGGGAGAGACTGTCTCCCACTCAGAAAGGCAATCTGAGTGGCCAAACCGAATAGGGAAACTGAGGTTAGACTGTGCTAGGTGCTCTGTCTTAAGCACTGAAAGAAAGGAGCAAACTGTCCCTCGGGTGGACATTAGTTCTACACTGCTTGTAGGAGGCGAGCTTCCCAGAGCTGCCTTCACAGTGTCCTCAGGCACATCACTGTGACACCCCTTCACAGGACAGAGCTGTTGTCTGAGAGGCCCAATGGTATCACCGTTAAGAAACCGCAAGCATGGGAGGCTCTGTGCAGGGCTTTCTAACCAAAAATAGTGTATCTGGTAACAATTAAAAAAAAAAGTTCTCAAACCTGGACTCCTAAGATACTATAAAATAGAATTTTCTGCTGATTTAAAAAAAAAAACCTCCCAGCGAATCTGAGTGTATTTTGTACGCTTGTGTTAGAGACTCTGAAGCAAATGCCTTCTGTTTGGTTTATAAAAACATCTGACTGACAGGAAATGGAAGTGTACCAGCTAAATTCTGACAGCTCCTTTGCACCGTCAGTAGCTGAGATGGAACAGGGAGTAGCCTGATTTGAGAGGAGCCACAGGAAGAAGCAGCAGCCAGTGCTGCTGCAGCAGGGCAGGGAGCTTTGTCAGGGAAGGCAGCCACAAAAACCAGGCAGGGACCCGGAAGGCAGGGCTGGGCCTTCCAGATGCTCCCTCCACAGCGCTGAAGCTCGCCTGCCCAACAAGCCAGCCTAGGAAGCCAGAGAGCATGTGCCGTCATCAATGTCATCTTCGGCTTGTCCTCTGACCTCTCTGTGGAATGGGTCTTACAGATACAGGGTCCCCGGAAGGGTAAGTTGAATAGATGCTCGTCAGTACATCAAAACCCAAGTATAGGAGGCGCATGCTCTTTATTTATCTGTGGATGTGTGCTGTTTACGTGTGCCCCCGTGTGTACATGTGCAGAGGCCAGAGGAGTGTGTCAAGTGTCCTCTATTGCTCTGCCTTATTCTCCCGGGACAGGCCCCTCACTGAACACGGAGCTCACTATTTTCTGGCTAGATGGACAGCAAGCCCTAACAGTCCTAACCCACTTGCACTGGGGTTACCGGCAAGCGTGGCCACATCTAGCTTTTTACATGGGTGCTGGGGAGACAGACACGGGTCCTCATGACTACAACAGAAAGGGCTCTACCCACTGAGCCATCTTACAACCCAAGTCTGTTTGTTTGTTATGTTGTAGCCGTTTTTCGACCTGGTCTCCCTGTGTAGCCTTGACTGGCCTGAAACTCAGAGATCTACCTGCTTCGGCCTCTCGAGGGCCAGGATTAAAAGTGTGGCAAGGCTGGGGGTTCTGTTGCTGATAGAAGCGTGTAATCAGTACTACAGCGAGCCAACGCTGCTGACACTGTCATCTTTCTGAGGTCTCTCCTTTATCTCCCGGCACAGTCTCTTAGCCCTCTCAGTCCCTGGCTGCAGATCACACAGAAAGTAAAGCCACGCCCTTGCCTGATCCTCCCAGTGGCCCACCTGCCAGTGCGAGCCCACCACCCACCACTCACCCGCCAGCGGCAACCCTGAGGAGGCCAGGCCTCAAGCTGGCACTGCTCCAGTCGGGTGGTAGAGCCGGAATCTGTGCCGTCACCTGGGCTGGGCCTGAACAAGTGAGCAGGCTCTTATCTTGGGAGCAGAGCAAAGGTGCGTACTGTCCTGTTGCCATGGCCTTTGAGCCAACGAGCTTAGCAACCAGAACTGCACACGCTTTCAAAAGGATGTAGGTAGGCCTGGTAACGAGGCTCAGTGGTTAGAATGGTAGCTTAGTGTGCATGGCACCCTAGCTCCATCCCCAGGACCCTACAAACCAGATGTGATGGCTCACTTCTGTGATCCCAGCACTAGGGAGGTGGAGGTAGAAGGCTTGAAAGTTTTTAAGACTAGTGTTGGCTACAGAGTGAGCTGAGGCCAGCCTGGGGTGTATGAGGCTGTTCCGACAAAATTGAATACATAAGTAAATAAATATAGCATTGCATATGGTCTGAGATTCACGAAGGGGGCTAGGCAACCCCCCGAAACCTCCCATGCACAGCACGCCCATGGAGAAAAATGCAGCTCACCCGCCTAGTAAAACCTTCTAGAGGTTATAATTAGTCTCACATCAATTCAGGTCAGATTTTTGCTGCGAAATGAGTCTGCTGCTGACTGAGGAGGAGCCTCTGGGGTTTCTGTGAGATCTGGAGTCTACCATGGTGGAGAAGGGGCATGGCTGGGGAGGCCCTAGAGCACAGGGACTCACTTCTCCACCTGTGATGCCCCTCTAAGCCTCAAATCCACTCAGCATTGTCATGAGGGTGCTCTGGTCTTGACTGCCCAGTGACCACCGTGCCTGGCCTCCTTCCCAGCCTCCTGTCTGAGCAGCAGCAGCAGAAGCCCTGTCGCCTGCATGTGAGCACGCGCCTAGGGTCCAAGTGCTTCTCCTCGGCCCTGGTCCTCATGGTTATGAGACTGCTACCTCTCACCTGGCCATAAAGAGCACCACTGCCCCCAGGCCGGGCCCATTTCAGCACAATCTGACTCGCTGTGCTCAGTGCTAAGGCCAATACTCCTGTCTCCCATGTTCTCCAGCCCCATGAAACCAGGCATGCAGTAGGAACATAGGAAAAGGCAATTGTGTTAGCAACTGAGCAATGGGGAGCCTGGCCTTGGAGCCACCCAGCCCGCTCTGTGGACTCTGTCCTGGACCCTCCCCACTGCTGACATTCTACAGCTTGGCTTGAGCACCTGGGTGTATGGCTGGCGGGAGGGTGTGGAAAGGGCAGAGGGAAGCTGAAGCGCATCCACTGTCCTCCAGCTTGCAAAGGCCACACCAAGGAGAGCAAGGACTCTTCCAGCCGCTGGCGCGGTAAAGGCAGGTCTGTGGTTACAGTGCCTTCACCAGCTGTAACACTCAAGCAAGGGGCTACTGACATTTAGAGTAAGGAAGTTCCCCAGTTAGGGCACTGACTGAAGGTAGGCTCACTCCTGCCTTCTCCGTGACAACACTGCAACCTTCTGGAGGTCAAAGTTCATGTCTTAGGGCACCTGCTTTGGGGACTGGAGTGTTCTGCCATTCTCATTAACAAGCTCTGTCCATCCCCAGCTGCCTGCACATGGCCACCTTCTGTCTTATCCATGGGTGAGTCTTTACTGCTGTGGTCTTTTCTTCCACAGCCTTTTTGACTATGATGCTATTTGGTCACTTACCACCTGCCTGGAGTGAGAGGAGCTCCAGGAGAGCAGGGCGCATGGCCCCGAGGGCTGGCTGACAGTGAGGGGGTGGAGGCTAGACTGTATCAGCTGAACACTTACTTGGGGACAGGAGACACAGCATGGAAAATAATGTGAGGCAAGCCTGTGCCCTCTTGATGTTTGAGCAGGCTTGTGCCAAGACTGCCTCACACAGGGGCAGTGCAGGGCATTGGACAGGCTGCATGTGTCGCTCTGGAGCTCCCAAAACCCTCTGGCCACATGTGAAGTGGATCTTATCTGGTCAGAGCACCCAAACAGATGAGGGTCTTGGGCAGAGCCCCTGTGGGACCACCATGACACAAGGGCCCTGGGCCTATGGCTAATGGGAAAGAAGGAAGCAAGCTGAGCCAAACCTAGCTCAGAACATAAGGAGTAACCAATACAATATCCCCTCCACCTTACACCAGAGGGCTAAGGGAGCTGAATCCCACCCAGAAGAGGCTTGAGAGCACAGAATCAGAGGGGAGCAGGAAGGAGGATCCAGAATAAAATTCAGCCAGGCCCTGGTCAGTGAATTATGCCAAACTCAGAGACCCACTCAGTAAACTTCCTCTCCCCCAATACCACCCACATATGCAGCGTCCTCTGGGAAAAGACAGGGACGCTGGTCCCTGTGTGGGGACGCCCTCCACACACTGCCCCACCATGCTGCCTGACCCTCCCTCTTCAACCTTGAGCCCTGAAGCCACGTCACTTACACCTGACTGCAAGCTCTGCCCCTCCAGCTGTGTGTCAGAGGCAAATTATGCAACCTCTCCCTGCTTGGCACGAAGAGCACATGGACACACCCAAGTCAGAGGCACTTCGAGGAAAAAACAAGGCTCAAGCACCACAAGCTGCTGCCATTACTATTATTGGTCTCTCTGCCACCACATCCTCCTGTCCCAGAGGGGTGGGGGTAGGGGGGGTGCCACAGTCTCTGAGCCCAGGCTGGTCCTGTCTCCGGTCACTGATTTTCTTTAAATCTGTGTATGTGCAGGTGCATGTGTTTGCGTATGTATACTCTGTATGACGTGTGTGTGCTCT